GCAAGCATCTCGGAGTTGGAATATTCGCTTTGATGAGATGATCAAAGCGTTTGGGTTTATGCAGACTTATGGAGAAGCCTGCGTTTACAAGAAAGTGAGTGGGAGCTCTGTAGCATTTCTCATATTATATGTAGATGACATACTCTTGATGGGAAATAATGTAGAATTTCTGGATAGCATTAATGCCTACTTGAATAAGTGTTTTTCAATGAAGGACCTTGGAGAAGCAGCTTATATATTAGGCATCAAGATCTATAGAGATAGATCGAGACGCCTCATAGGTCTTTCACAAAGCACATACCTTGATAAGATTTTGAAAAGGTTCAAAATGGATCAGTCCAAGAAAGGGTTCTTGCCTATGTTACAAGGTGTGAGATTGAGCTCGGCTCAGTCACCGACCACGGCAAAAGATAAAGAAGAGATGAGTCTCATCCCCTATTCTTCGGCCATAGGATCTATTATGTATGCCATGCTGTGTACCAGACCTGATGTAAACCTTGCCGTGAGTTTGGTAGCAAGATACCAGAGTAATCCCGGCAAGGAACACTGGACAGCGGTCAAGAATATCCTGAAGTACCTGAAAAGGACAAAGGACATGTTTCTCGTTTATGGAGGTGACGAAGAGCTCGTCGTAAAGGGTTACATCGACGCTAGCTTCGACACAGATCTGGATGACTCTAAGTCACAAACCGGATACGTGTATATGTTGAATGGTGGAGCAGTAAGCTGGTGCAGCTGCAAGCAGAGCATCGTGGCGGGATCTACATGTGAAGCGGAGTACATGGCAGCCTCGGAGGCAGCGCATGAAGCTATTTGGGTGAAGGAGTTCATCACCGACCTAGGAGTCATACCCAATGCGTCGGGGCCGATCAAACTTTTCTGTGACAATACTGGAGCTATTGCCCTTGCAAAGGAGCCCAGATTTCACAAGAAGACCAGGCATATCAAGCGTCGTTTCAACTCCATCCGTGAAAATGTTCAAGATGGAGACATTGAAATTTGCAAAGTACATACGGATCTGAATGTCGCAGATCCGTTGACTAAACCTCTCTCACGAGTGAAACATGATCAACACCAGAACTCTATGGGTGTTCGATTCATCACAATGTAACTAGATTATTGACTCTAGTGCAACTAGGAGACTGTTGGAAATATGCCCTAGAGGCAATAATAAAAGTATTATTATTATATTTCTTTGTTCATGATAATAGTCTTTTATTCATGCTATAACTGTATTATCCGGAAATCGTAATACACGTGTGAATACATAGACCACAATATGTCCCTAGTGAGCCTCTAGTTGACTAGCTCGTTGTGATCAACAGATAGTCGTGGTTTCCTGGCTATGGACATTGGATGTCGTTGATAACGGGATCACATCATTAGGAGAATGATGTGATGGACAAGACCCAATCCTAAGCATAGCACAAAGGTCGGTTAGTTCGTTTGCTAGAGCTTTTCCAATGTCAAGTATCTCTTCCTTCGACCATGAGATCGTGTAACTCCCGGATACCGTAGGAGTGCTTTGGGTGTACCAAACGTCACAACGTAACTGGGTGATTATAAAGGTGCATTACAGGTATCTCCAAAAGTGTCTGTTGGGTTGACACGGATCGAGACTGGGATTTGTCACTCCGTATGACGGAGAGGTATCTCTGGGCCCACTCGGTAATGCATCATCATAATGAGCTCAAGGTGACCAAGGTGTTGGCCACGGGATCATGCATTACGGTACGAGTAAAGTGACTTGCCGGTAACGAGACTGAACAAGGTATTGGGATACCGACGATCGGGTCTCGGGCAAGTAACATACCGATTGACAAAGGGAATTGTATACAGGGTTTGATCGAATCCTCGACATCGTGGTTCAACCGATGAAATCATCGAGGAGCATGTGGGAGCCAACATGGGTATCCAGACCCCGCTGTTGGTTATTGCCCGAGAGTGGTCTCGGTCATGTCTGCATGTCTCCCGAGCCCGTAGGGTCTACACACTTAAGGTTCGGTGACGCTAGGGTTGTTTAGGAAGACTAGTATGTGACTACCGAATGTTGTTCGGAGTCCCGGATGAGATCCCGGACGTCACGAGGAGTTCCGGAATGGTCCGGAGGTAAAGTTTTATATATGGGAAGTTGTTAAACGGGCACCGGAAAGTTTCGGGATCATACCGGTATTGTACCGGGACCACCGAAAGGGTTCCGGGGGTCCACCGGGAGGGGCACTAGGGCTGCGTGGGGATAGCAGCCAGCCCCTAGTGGGCTTGGCGCCCTCCCCCCCTTGGGCCCATGCGCCTAGGGTTGGGGGGGAAACCCCAAAGGGGGCGCACCCCCCTTGCTTGGGGGGCAAGCCCCCCACCCCTTGGCCGCCGCCCCCTCTAGGGTTTTCCCTAGAGGGCCGGCCCCCCTTGCCCTTTCCCCTATATATAGAGGGGTGAGGGGAGGGCTGCAACACAAGACAAGCCAAGGCGCAGCCCCTCCCCTCCCCAACACCTCTCCTCCTCCGTACGTGCTCGGCGAAGCCCTGTCGGAGTACTGCTGCACCAACTACACCACGCCGTCGTGCTGCCGTTGGAGCAATCTTCCTCAACCTCTCCTTCCCCCTTGCTGGATCAAGAAGGAGGAGACGTCCCCGTCCCGTACGTGTGTTGAACGCGGAGGTGCTGTCCGTTCAGCACTTGGACATCGGTGATCCGAATCACGTTCGAGTACGACTCCATCATCACCATCCCCTTGGCAAGCTTCCGCTCGTGATCTACAAGTGGTATGTAGATGCAAACTCTCTCCCTTGACTCGTTGCTTAGATGAACTCATAGATGGATCTTGGTGAAACCGTAGGAAAAATTTTAATTTTCTGCAACGTTCCCCAACAAAACCCGGCTGAATGTTATTCCTGTGGATGGACTAACCAGCTTATTATCATGTACCGAGTATTCTGTGGAATGATGTTACCTTCATGAGCTACTTGAATTCGAATGATGAGATATAAGCCCTTTATGTGATGTCGCTCAGACGTCCGACTGTGACATTCTTATTATCTACTTTTGATATAAGCCATTTATGTGATGCCGCTCAGACGTCCGACTGTGGCATTCTTGTTATCTACTTTTGATATAAGCCATTTATGTGATGTCGCTCAGACGTCCGATTATGGCATTCTGGTTATTTACTTTTGATATAAGCCCTTTATGTGATGTCGCTCAGACGTCCGAATGTGGGATCCTTGTTATTTACTTTCGTTATAAGCCCTTCTCGAGATGTCGCTTAGACGTCCGACTGTGGCACGTACTGTCATTTATGTTTCAATATAAGCCCTTTATGTGGTGTCGCCCTGACGCCCGACTGCGGCATGTTAATTTATTCTTACCTTTCGAGGCGTCGCTTCAGACACCCGCTCGGTCTTCAATTATTTTATTGGGATTTCGGGAGGACTACCGCCTGACTTCCTTTTTATTTAACATGCAGTGCAAATTTATTGTTTGAGTGCGCATTACTAGTCTGCTCATGTGCATCGTGTTTGCATTTGTTATATCTTATGTCCAAACTGTCTTGCGAGTACATTCAAAGTACTCACCTGGCTTGTTGATTTGGTCAGATGTTGACGAAGGCGATCTTATGGATGAAGAGTACGATAGGGAGTCCGACGCCTAGAGGATTCACAGTCAGTCCCGTACGATCCTGGAGTTGGTCACTTGTATTATATATGCTTCCACTACCCTAATAAAATCATCGAGCCTCACTCCGACGCTTGATGAGCTGTAAGATTTTGGAGTCATGTCACCTACTTCACTGTGACATATCCACCACCACTTTTGTTACGAGTTAGTAGTTATGCCACCATACCCTTTGTGTCATATCCACCTTTATGTGTAGTATCGGCGTGCCTGTAATAAATTGTTGAGCAGCCTCAGCTCAACCCTGTATAACATTTAGTACTTCTGGATTTCTGTATCAAGGATTTGTCTACCGGTAAGGAGTATTTTTCTATACTGGTCTGATAAAATGGTCGATTTTTCAATAAATATTTTATTGAAAAACCGGTCCTGACAGTATGGGTCGGGCTGGATGGGCCATACAAGATCAAGCTGAAGATTATCTACCGTGTCCGGATGGGACTTCTCAATACGTGGACGGCAAGAATTAGAGTCTGGAAGCTTTCTTCCCTGATAGACCGACCTTGTACAAACTCTTGACCCCTCTGGTGTGTATATAAACTGGAGGCGTTAGTCCGTAGAGGCTACCTTCTTCACCGTCATTAGAAACCTCATAGACTAGGCATCTAGGGTTAGCCATTACGATCTCGAGGTAGATCATCTCTTGTAATCTTCATGCTCGTCGAATATAATCAAGCAGGAGTAGGGTTTACCTCCCTTAAGAGGGCCCGAACCTGGGTAAACACTGTGTCCCCTGGCTTCCTGTTACCATTGATCCTTAGACGCACAGTTTGGGCCCCCCTACCCGAGATCTGCCGGTTTTGACATCGACGCCGGTCATCGAACCATGTCCCTCAAATAGACATCAAATCCGGACATCAGAGATGGTCCAAGCAGACCTCAAGGACAAAGCACATGGGTTGTGAGAACATGTGGTCCAACCGACAGTGGGCCAATCGGGTTTCCCCATGATGTCTGGACTCTCGTAAAGTCTCCCCAAATTTGCTTCCGATGTGGGGGGAAACGGACATGTGAACTGATCCATAAATGTTTAGAAGACCGTGTTGGTTGGCAAAAAAATGCCCAGACCCTTTACGAAAAAGCTTTGAGGTAAAGTTTTGGAGATGCCACAAATTTAGCTTTAATGGGTATTTTGTTCACAAAGGAGAGTGGGAGCAGAACCCACCAAGGCAGTACAGAGATACGATACTTCAGCTAGCAGCAATGCATGGTTCCAATCCATCACGTATATCCTTAGAAATGTATTCTTCAATCTCTCGATTCCCTCCTACTTTAACTGCTAGCAGCAGCACCAGCAGCAGCGACGACGGTTGAACCGATGGACTGAAGAACTAAGCGAGGAGCCAGAAGTCCCTGTGGCGCCTGCTGGAGACGAGGTACCCGCCGGAGTTCCGCCGGCGCACGCCCAGCGCCTCGCACGGCGCGTGCTCGATGCAGTACTCCACCAGGCCCCTCTGCCACCGCCTGCCGCACCGACGCTCCGCCGCCGGCCACAGGCCCAGGATCCACCGCGTCGTGGCCGCCCGCCGGCGCTGGCCGAGCACGAGCAGCGACGCGCCGTGCCGCCTCGCGGCGTCCACCACCGCCGGCGCGCGCTCCTCCGCCTCGGTCACGCACACCTCCACCTTCACCTGCATAAACGTTGATGATTCTTGTGTCATCATAGACCGATCAATCAATCATGGGCGCAAGGCGCAATGTTGATCCACTACTACCAATATATTATTGCGGAATTGTTGCTTTCTCGTCTTGGAAAGGGATGGAAGGTGCCAAAAGCAAATAAGTTCATTCCTACAGCCTACTGGTAGCTTAGCTCAATTATTGAGCACCTTTACGCGTTCGGCCGAAATTCGGCGCGAAATGCGCTAAATGGGTCGCTGCCTTTTAGAGTTTTAGTACTAGCTTCCAGTTTGCTACTCTCTTCCTTCTACTACTACTGTTGAAGTAAAGAATGGAGTATGTACCTCTGGCCTGGTCGACTCACACAGGCTCCTCATGGCATTAAGGTTTTCGTAGCATCTTGTCCCTGATATCTTCACGCAGGATGAATCATCCGCTGTATCAGTCATGTCAGAATTATTTTACGTCAATTTCAACAAACTCTCCCAACAGAAAATATAGTGCTAGTATGTACGTAATTGATTTTCGCACATGTACATCACTGGTTACCGCGGTACGGTCACTCACCATCTGCCGGGGCCGGCTTGACGACGGCGAGAAGGACGACGGCGTCATTGCTCCGTACGGTCTGCGACAGCGCCCACTCGAGCGCGCCCACCGCCTCCGCCCGCCCATCAGCGACCACCATCACCCGCCGCCCGCCGCCGTCCTTCTTGCCGCCCACGACGTCAACCATCGACGCGCCATTGCCGCCGCCGTAACAGCGTCCGTTTCCTGCTCCACTGTCACTCCTTACCTTGCTGGTCACCGAAGGCGGCAGCTTGGAGGACAACGAGGAGGGGGAGCAGTAGCTCAGGCGCTGCACTCGCTTCCTGACCCGCGTCGCCGCCCGGCCGCGGCACAACGCCGGCAGCCTCCGCCCCATTAGTAAATCCGGTGCTCAGCTAACTCCAAAGAATGTGGCCTGCGGGACAAGGAAAAGCTGTGGAGATACAGGGAGGGCTAAGATTAGTGCGCGTACGGGGATGCTTATATATACGCATGCGTATCGCCAATCGCTACGAAACTGGCGGCGAACTTGCGAGACGTGCAGCGCATCAAGGGGTGGGGCGTGCACTTGTTTGGTCGACTTCGCCTGCGCGCAGCCTGCGGTAGAGATGATAATATCTTGGGTGTCTTATGATTCACGTTGTACGTATAGATGCTCTAATATGATTGGTACTAGAAACTACTGGTCATCAACGTATGGGAGACAGCTGCATGGACTTTCTCTTCCAGAAGACACATTTGTATTTAAACATTTTCCTTTTTGGGCGGTAGCTTTAAGAAGTTGCAAACATATGTTGTATACAAAATGTTCATGTTAAGTTTTTAAAAAAATCCCTAAAAAGGTTTTAAAGAAATATATTTCAGGTTTGATATTTGACCAGACGCCTAACATTTTCCGTTGCCTTAGTCAATTATGTGGATAACAAGGCGAGGACGTGACGAGTTGTGTCATCCCTGCCGATGCCAAGCCAGGACCTCGCCGGAGACTGGGATTGACATGGCTGGTCGTGGTGTCACTGACCCAGATGAGGCCTAGGGTTTGTAGGTGCAAGCGAGAGGCCTATTCATTTTGAGTGCCGCTCGGATTAGACAACCACCGAGCTCTACATGGGACACCGTGGACTCCCCCGGCATCACTAGTGAGGGGATGACGCGGCTCACTGCTAGAAGACCAGCAAGGGGTTCGGTGGGGGTTTGGGGGGATGGGAGTGGCACAGGGGCTGCAGATCTGCTGGAGGACGAAGAAGGCTACGAGTCGTTGGATGCATATCGTAAGGTGCACACAAGAGTAACAAGGGAAAAAATGAATATTCAAATCTGAACACAGGCTCATCTGCTCCCGTTGAACAGCAATTCAGAAACAAATACTCCATGCCAAATTCATCGTGTTTGAACATATGAGTAGCTCTCAGCAAAAAAAAATCTAATTGTGCAGTTTGTCGTATGGCTGGCCATAATGCTAAGAGCATCTCCAGCCGTTTGGCCCCCCGGCACCCGGCAAAGGGCTTTGCGCGTTTGCGCCGGCGGTTTTTCCGGCCTGGGGGGAATCAAGTTACCAGCCACGGCCCCAGGTTTCGGCCCCCAAACGACAAAATTTCAAAATTCTTTTTCCCGCTACCAAAAAAGACACAAGTTCGGCGATCATCATGCCACATGTCGACGATCGAACATAGCCAAAGTCCCGCGATCAAAAGGGTAGGAACCATAGCCATGGAACTCAAACGGCAGGCTTCTCTACCGTAGGGCTGGGAGAGGCCGACGTCGGCGTTGTGGGCACAGCTGTAGTGCTCGGTGTTGGCGTGGGTGTGGGCATAGTGGCAGTGGTCGCCGTCGGTCCCGGCATCTGGTTCAAGATGAGATCACGCTCCGCCGGGTACCACACCTTCACATGCTGGTACATCGTCGCCATGTCTGCTCCCATCAGGAACGTCAGGTCCGTGTTCCTCTTCTTCGCGACGATGTTGGTCCTGAGAAGGTCGAGCTTGACGTCCTGCTTCGTCATCAACGCCGACCACCTCGCCTCAGATTTCTCCTCCCTCTTGGCGGCGTGGCTCTTCGCGTCGGTGATGCACTGTTCGATCGACGATTGCAGCAGTTCAGCAACGGGTGTCGCGTCCCTCACCGCCTTAGCTCTTTTGTTGCCATCAGGACGCCCTTCTGCTGCAGCTGAGGCAGCCGCGTCGGGGTTGTAGACACTGTTCTTAGTCTTGATGAGAGCAAGTCGGCACTCTGTCCATTTCTCGCACGACTCGATCCCGGTGAACACATGAAGGAACTTGAACTCCTGGTCGTTGTTGTCCTCGCGAAACATGTCGAACATTCAAACCATCTGCACAGACGAAGAACAAGTGTCGGCGAAGCACACGTTGAAGAGCTGGGCCGGCGAGCGATGGACATACCTGACGTTTGACATTGACCTCCTCCTGAATCCCATGTCACTTCTTGCAAGCCTACTGGATGGTCGCCCAATGGTTGGCCATGGCCTTCTCGTTGCGATCCACGTGGATGCTAGCGAAATCGGGGTCGACCAACTTGCGCTCGTCGAACGTTGTCTTGACCCTTCTCCAGTAGATGTCGGCGTTCTGATACGCGCCGGTGATCGAGTCGATGCTGACAGTCTTCCATGCTTCGGCGAGGCATTCGTCTTCCTTTGGCGTCCATTTGACGCGAGGCTCGCATGGCCTGGCGGTGGACGACCGCTTCTTCTTTCTCGCTTTGGCCGCTGGCTCCGCCGGTTCTTCCTCTTCCACCTCCTCCTCGGCATCGTCGTACATGTCGATGGCGGTGTCCAGCGTTTCGTCTTGCGTGTGGAACTCAAGGCACGAAGCGGCGACGACTGAGTTGTTTGTGATGATCTCGTCCATGTCGGCGTCGGTGCTGCTGAATTGTGGCACCGAGCCAGGCGCAAAGGGTAGGGGTCCACGACACAGAGTCGGCGCAGGCGAGTTTGAGTACGTCGGTGGCAAGTAGCCATACTGGGTGTTGAGGCCAGCGGTGAACGCGGGGAAGGGCGTGCGCTGGTCGGGGTTGAAGACTGAGGGGGCGCAGCGCAGAGCCATGCGGGAAGGTGATGTTGGCGTTGAAGCCGCCAAGCGTGTCACCGTCGACGTAGTCCGGCGAGGGCGTGTACTCCCACCCTGGCAACGAGAAGTTGGCCGGCGACGCGACGCTCTGCTGGCTACCCCATGCGCCTTGTGGGTACTGGCCAGCCTGTTGAGGCAGAAGGAGCTGGCGCTCATTCGCCATGCCCGGGTGAGACGTCTCTCCTGCTCCGCCGCCGCGTCCCTGGCCTTCTTCATGTCAGCATGTTCCGTCAATCAGTGGTGACCGCCGCCGGGCGATCAACGTCGGCCTTCCACTGGGCGTTCGTCAAACCCGGGGGCCTTGGCATCGGCGCCCTCGTCCTCCTCTGCTTTGGCTGGGTGGAATCGGTGGCTAGGCGAGGGGGCACATACTTCTTGGGCGGAATGGCAGGCAGATCCGTGGAGAATGTGGGAGCTGCGAGGGAGAAGGGGTCGGTAGGGAGGGTCGATAGGGGGAAAATGGAGGGATATGGGGGGAAACGGCGGGAAAATCGAGCGTTGTCGCCGACAAAACGGTTCCACGCGCCTTTTCGCTTCAGCCAGTGGCCCTAGGCTCCCCCCGGTGCGTTGAGTTCCGCATGGGTTCACCGGTTGTAATTTCGACACAAACCGGCGAAAAACGACAATATAAGGGCACGGCTGGACGATTTTTCCGCTCCAGCGATAAAATGGACGCCTGGGGGGCTGGAGATGCTGTAACCCTCCGGCAACCACCATCTACGCGTATGACACGCACGATTCCTAGAAATCAATGATGGATAGGCGGCTTAAAACCTGATCCGTATCTGTGAGTGTACTATCTACAAATCAACGATTCAGCTGAGCGTAGGTCAACACTGACTATGCTATTCTAGCACACGTACTCAATCAATTAATTGCCACTCGCAAAGTCGCTATGGTGCCGACGAGACATGAGAGCCAACCTCCATGGATCAGCTCATGCTGGGGATTGTTCAATTCCCTGAAGCTACGGTTGGTGCACCTGCCGCTCGTCATTTCATTTGTGCCCCTGGGAACAATTGTTTCCCTTTCATACAAACATTAGCTACATTTACAAGGAACATTAGCTACCTCCCCGCAAATCCGGAATGCTGGTAACTGAACGTGACCCGATATTTCTGTTCTGTTCAAGTGACCTGAATGATGGAGATGAAAATGACAACATCTTAAGCAGGCGAGCAACATGAATGTCGTCTGCACATGCCCAGAAATGCACCCTATTTGCCTGCAAAAGGAGAGCAAACGGTCACTTTGTGGCCTTATCCAAATAATTACAAGATGTAAAGCATATGCTATCGAATACAAAGCATCACTGCAAGACCACGAACTATATTAGAAACAATAATAATAACAATGTAGCAGCATGAGCAAACAACTGTGAGTAACACATTTTGTGAAGCATGAAGCATGAAGCTTTAACACTCAATCTGAACTTTAGCCAACAAGATGTTGGATCACCACCAAGTTTTCTTTATTTTTTATATGCAATACATCCACATGACTTCAAAACAATGCTTTCACTGTCTATCCATGTGTCTTGTATTCAAAATGCATGTCAAGGCACAAAAACATCACCCCAGCATAAAAGAGAGGCACAGAGACATCTAGTCCACTGTGGTCTCATGTCATTAACAATTCCAGTTCTCTTGTAAAGAAAAAAAAAGGGGCATGATCTGCAAAGAAAACCTTGGACAGATTATCCAGAAATAACTACAAGTAACATGTATTTTCCCTTGTTCATATCCCTTCAACTTTCAACCACAATCCTCACACTACTATCCTCATTACCCTGATCTTGTAATCTCTCCCTCCCTCCTAAGTATCAATACCATCCTCTTAGGTATAGAAAAGGGTAGTACTCCCTCCAATCCAAAATAAGTGTCGTTGTTTTTGTTAAAATTTGAACTCAAACCACGGCACTTATTTCGGATCAGAGGGAGTAGCATCTAATGTAAAGTGCCACGAGGGCTAACTGAAATATGAATTTAGGCCCTGATTGGATTGGCCTTTCACAGCGCCATACCCCTGTAAAATATACAGACCTCCATCGGTCGTTTTTCTTTCCAGTTGAAAATCAAGTGTGGCCGGTATTATACACATGTAAAATAAATACAGGTGTATAAAAATACACCAATGCCAAGCGGGGCCTTACTGGTACTCCACAGATTATCCAATGATAATACATGGTACGCACATTTAATAGCTGAAGCTTAAGGCTCTTTACCATCGAAGAAGATTTGAGCATGGGGTGAAGCTCTTCTATATGTTATCAGTTCGCGCAGTGCATCCTCACTAGACTTTAAGCTTCCATAACCAAGATTAATAGACATAGTGCGAAGAACTGTAGCTTTAGATAAAAGAAGCTGTATAAAACACATTTCATTTGATGAACAGAGAACACCCTTCAATCGCACAACTTGAAGGTTGGGACACATGCCGTCAGTCCATTGTGCATTCTGAAACTCCCCATCTGCTTCTTCCTCGTCCAAAAAACCCTCGATCTTGAAAAATAAACCAAACATATAAATCACACGAGCAGCATACGAACCTCCAAAACAACATATGTAGGATAAAGATACAAGGCAGTGTGTTTAGTTTGTACCACTATATCAAGTTCTTCAAGGTTAGGAGCATTCCTCAGTAAACAAAAGGTTGACAAAATGGTAGGCGTTTCCTCAAAGTGAGTCCAGAGGGTTAAACTCTTTAAGTTGTCAAAGGTGCAAGGAAGTGTTTCCAGGATATGACCCTCTGTGAACTGTACAAAAAAAATGTTAAGATACAAAACTTAATGCAAATGCAAATGATAACTATTCCACCATTGATATTATTTACATTGCTAAGGCGGATTCCTCTTGTAATGCTAAAATTGCAAGAACATTTTGAACACATTAGAAGCACTGAGTATCTCTGTTTAGAACAAAAGAATACACACCCCTACGGAAAATGAGCAGGCTACAGATGTTAGAAATGCTACAGTGCCTTAATAATCTGAACGTCACTATTTGATTAGAATATTATTCGGATCGCCACTTAACACGAACACCAACACAATAGAGAGTTTATTTTTACTCATCTCCTTGCGCGGAGCAGAGAAAGCATTTAAAACTATTACAAATGCTTGCTGGAAAAGGCATTTCATACATAACGTTACAGTATATTCTGAATGTAAGTGCACAGTTCTAGAAACAGTGGGAAACAGTTCCACATAAGCCAGTTTAATCCCAACTCTACAGGCTCCCTAACCCTAAGAAGTGTAAAACACCACCCAGTACCCAGATTTACATATTCAACTTCTGGTGCCTGATGTTATATAAAGTTTATTTTTTACATTTATTTCTGTGTGGACCAAAGTAAACATTTGAAACGATTACAAATATTCCCAGAGAAGGCATTTCGTACATAACATTAATGTATTACTCCCTCCGTTCCTAAATGTAAGTCTTTTTAGATATTTCAAATAGAGTGCAACATACGGATGTATGTAGACATATTTTAGAGTATAGATACACTCATTTTGCTCCGTATGTAGTCACTTGTTGGAATATTTAAAAAGACTTATATTTGGGAACGGAGGGAGTATATTATAAATAAGTGCACAGTTCTTGAATAAATGAATCGGAAGGGGAACACAATTACACATAAGCCAGATTCATCCCAACTCCACAGGATCCCTGTCGCCCTTCGAAGCGTGAAACAACTTACGAGGCACCAACCCAGGACCCAGATTTACAGATTATACTCCCTATTGCCTAGTATCTATCAGCTCGATTAGTTATCTATTTCGAGTGACAGCAATTACCGACGATCGATACAAGAGGTAGAAAGAAAAGTACCGGTGGGTAGCACTTATTTAGAACGAGCTTCCGAACTTGAGCAAGCCCAGCAAGGAGTCCTCCGAAATCACTAAAGTTCTCACAGCTTTGCAAATTGATGGTGGCTTCGTGGAGATTTGGTAGCTCGGCGACTTGCCAGCCATGATTGTCTTTGGAAACTATAGTTAGCCTCCGGAGATTGGCCCCCCAAATCACCCAACCAGGGAAAGCCTCGCTGTATGTATCCACATAGATAAGACTCAGGGTGTCAAGCAAGGGTGACGCTTTGATAATTGCCTCCAGTTGGATCTGCCCGTTCGGAGGGAATGTGACGCCCGAGAGTTCGAGCTGCTTGAGCACGGGGAAGCCAGTGAATTCCACGGGGAGAGGAGGTATCAAGCACAAGTGCAGCTTCAGGCACACGAGACTCGTGCATAAGAAGACAGAAGAGTGAAGGGCGAAGGCTGGGGCTGGGCCCTTGAGGTCGATGGACTTGACGCCGCGGTTGCGGACGGCGATGAGCCAGTCGTCGACGCGGCGGGCGGAGTGCGTGTCGAGAGAGTGGATGGAGAAATTCGAGATGTTGCCGGGGTAGCGAAGGAGAACGCTGTCGACGGCCACCGCGGGTATGCCACCCCTGCCGATGCGGGAGAGGGAGAGGCAGGGGAGGTCCACCCAACGGCGGCGCCAGGCGCGAGAGAGCGCGGAGGTGCGGACGGCGTCGCGGAGGTCGAGGCGGGTGAGGATGCTGTCGAGCAGGAGCGGCGGCAGGGAGGTCAGCAGGTCCGCCGCCGGCTCGCTCGACCGCGCGCGGCGGCGCGAGGGCGCCATGTCAGTGTTGGGCTCTAGGGTTACGGTTTCCCCTCACACTTCACAGGATGGGGGAGAATATCAGCACTTTCGGGCGTAGTTTAAAAAACTGAACCGATAATATAAGGCCGTCGATTCAGGTTTTTACCAGTCGGACCGCTGGGGAACCCATTGATTGTCAGTTTTTTATAAGCAATAAAATAATTGACGCGTTTGATTCGAGCAGAGGTAACGTATTTAGTATTGTAATCAGAATATATTGTATTATATTAGAGAGAAGCGAATACATGATGTGTTTGGTTCACGCAAGGGAAGAGGAAACAATGGCACCGCCGCCGCCCGCCGGCCTTGTAGAAGATGCCCGAGGGACGGCTGTAGGGATGGCTTGTGATGAGAAACGAGATCACCGACTGCTCACAGCGGCGCTACTGCTCACGTCGGTGAAGGGAGACCGGCGACGTTGCTCATGACGATGGCGACGAAGGGACATTGGCAACATTGCTGCTCACGGAGGCGGCGAATTGGTACGGTGGCGCTGGTGCTCATGGCGGGGGGGGGAGGGGTCGACGGCGGTGCTGCTCATGGTGGAGGGAGATCATGGGCGCTACTGCCTGGTCCCCGTGGTGAAGAAAACAATCCGGAAGAGTGGTAGTGTTATTTCACACCGGATTGTACCGGGTGTTTTCAGTTTACTAAAGAATGGTTTGCGATTACACGGTATTTGAAACCAATCGAATCCAAACAAACGCCCATAACACAATCGTGAGCCGGTGTAACCGAGAGACAGTGAAGAAGTCGCGAACCAAATGCGTCAAATATAGATTATCAATAAATGCATCAATCAATGGATAAAAATGTTTAATCGGAGATGATTGTCGGGCATCCTGGTCCTCATGCTCGGCTACTCCTAGTCCGGACTCTGGAATGAAGGGAAGCAACCGGAGTGAAGACTAGTCGACTTAACTGGAGCGGAGCGAGATTGAAGTTGATGGACCAAGCCGACTAGGCGGCGGTGTCCCCTCTCCTAGTCCTCAACAGAGATGGCTCAGGACGGTGATGACTAATGATTACCACCGAAGCTTGCATAATTTTGAGGACCGGATAAATCCATATGAAGACTTTCCAGAGGCCTTGTTGTGATCATAACAGTCTTTGACGAATGATGCTTCTTGGCTAATTTACCAGCCTCACATGCAGCACAAAGAAGATCCTTGTCGAATTTTACATCAGGAATTCCACGGAGATGATTTTTCTTCACCGATCTGCAAATTTCTCATACCTGCATGACCAAGTCTACGGTGCCACAGCCATCCTTCGGTTGCTTTTGCAAGCAAGCAAGTTTGGACCGAGGGACTCTTAGAGAAATCCAAAATATATAGATCGCCCTTTCTAATTCCCTCGAAGATGAAGGAATTATCAGAGGCCATGAAGATAATGCATTTGGATATGGAAAACATAAATAGCATGCCTAGATCACATAGCTTGCCAACTGACATGAGATTGAATCTAAGTGACTGAACAAGTAAAACATCATCAATGGACTTATCCTTGGATATGGTAATTTTACCTAGCCCAATTACCTTTCCTTTGTTGTTGTCGCCAAAAGTGATATACTTCAGAGGAGAAGCAGTTAAGTTGGGGTCGACAAATAACGACTTGTCTCCGGTCATATGACTAGTGCATCCACTATCCATTATCCATTCTGTACACCCGGAGACATAGTCATGCAGAAGAATTAGGCTTTCTTAACCAACCACATCTTTGCAGGTGGCTTCAAAACAGTTGAGCGAGCAGGATATGATTTCTTTCGATAAGAATAATTGTTGCTCGACGAGGTATGAGCATAATTGAAAGAATAAGCATTGAAAAGTAACGAGCATTTTGCGCCTACATGGTTAGTAATGTGGTTATAGGTAATGCTTCAATAACTTTCTTAGGCACCCATATAGCTTTCTTTGGGGGTCCATTCCTGTTGTTTGGCCCAGCATAGCAAGCAACAGCCTCACCGTGTTGATTTCTAAACAACTTATAGTTGTCTAGAGAATCATCAACAGGATATTCATGGATGGGAGAGTTGTATCCCGAGAGTAATGTTGATGTCTACTACATAACTTTATTCTTGTAGACACGTGTTGGGCCTCCAAGCGCAAAGTTTTGTAGGACAGTAGCAATTTTCCCTCAAGTGGATGACCTAAGGTTTATCAATTCGTGAGAGGTGTAGGATGAAGATGGTCTCTCTCAAATGACCCTGCAACCAAATATAAGAAATCTCTTGTGTCCCCAACACATCCAATACAATGGCAAACTGTATAGGTGCACTAGTTCGGCTAAGAGATGGTGATAAAAGTGTAATATTGATGGTAGAAATATATTTTTATAATCTGAATAAATAAAAATAGCAAGGTAGAAAATAGTAAACGGGCACAAAAACGGTATTGCAATGATGGAAAATGAGGCTTAGGGTGCATACTTTCACTAGTGCAATCTCTCAACAATGCTAACATAGTTGGATCATATACCCATCCCTCAAAGTGCGATGAAAAATCACTCCAAAGTTCCTATCTAGCGGAGAACATAAAACGGAATTGTTTGTAGGGTACGAAACCACCTCAAAGCTATTCTTTCCATTCGATCTATTCAAGAGTTCGTACTAAAATAACACAAAGCTATTCTTTATGTTAGATCTATCCTAGAGTTCGTACTAAAATAACACCAAAGCAAATTCAAATTTATAATGTTCAATCCAACACAAAGAACTTCAAAGAGTGCCCAAGATTTCTACCGGAGAGACAAAGACAAAAACGTGCATCAACCCCTATGCATAGATTACCCCAATGTCACCTCGGGAATCTGCGAGTTGAGTGCCAAAACATATATCAAGTGAATCAATACGATACCCCATTGTCACCACGAGTATTCAATTGCAAGACATATATCAAGTGTTCTCAAATCCATAAAAGTATTGAATCCGATAACAACGAAATCTCAAAGGAGAAAACTCAATTCATCACAACAAGATAGAGAGGGGAAAACATCATATGATCCGACTATATTAACAAAGCCCGCGATACGTCAAGATCGTGACATCTCAAGAACACGAGAAAGAGAGAGAGAGAGAGAGAGATTAAACACATAGCTACTGGTACAAACCCTCAGCCCCGAGGGTGGACTACTCCCTCCTCATCGTGGTGGCTACCGGGATGAAGAAGATGGCCACCGGTGATGATTCCCCCCTCCGGCAGGGTGCCGAAACGGGGTCTAGATTGGATCTCGTGGATACAGAGGCCTTGCGGCGGCGGAACTTCTGATCTAGGGCTACCCCAAAGGGTTTTGGAATATTTGGGATTTTATAGGGTAAAGAAGCGGCTCGGGGGGGCACCCGAGGTGGGCAGCACCCACCAGGGCGCGCCTGGCCTCCTAGCGCGCCCTGGTGGGTGTTTCTCCCCTCGAGCAACCCCCCAGGTGCTTCCTTGGCCCGCTGGCTTTCTTTTTTCCCAAAAAATATCCTCCAGGAGTTTCGTTGCATTTGGACTCCGTTTGATATTGATTTCCTGCGATGTAAAAAACAAGCAAAAACCGGCAATTGGCATTGGGCACTGGATCAATAGGTTAGTCCCAAAAAATGATATAAAGTTTCTATAAAATGATTGTAAAACATACAAGAATGATAACATAATGGCATGAATACTTCCTAAATTATAGATACGTTGGAGACGTATCAAATGCTGGATCGAGCGTTTTGCTCTTTGCAGGAACCCACACAGTTTGAGGGTATCAATGAGGTTCCCATTAGGTGCCATTCTCATTCAGTTTCCTTTCAAAATTGATGCCTTCTTTCCTAGGATTTTTGTGAAGAGTGCATTTCTTCAAAACACCACAAAGGGTTTGATGCCCCTTGAGAGATTTGAACATTCCAGTCTGAAGAAGATCCTTCAACCTAGCATTTTCATCAGAAACAAAACCATTTTCCTCGGCCGAGGGGTTAGCATTCGCAGATGATTCAACATTTGATTCAACATTGATTCGTTCAAGGCATTTTAAACATGGTGGCTCAAACACTTCAGGTTTCTCTTTAAGTTGTTGGGTGAGAAGAGAATTTTCTCTGATCAAATCCTCATGAGCCTCTCTCAGTGCCTCAAGTTCCTGTTTCCTTTTCAGGTAATCATAGGTCAATCTTTCGTGGTCTTCCGAGAGAAAATAATGACAATTTGTCAGTTCATCCATCTGTGACTTTAGAGTGGAATACTCTTCGGTCAGCGACAAATTTTTCTCTATCTCCTCAACCAACAACCCTTCAGATTTCTTGAGGGTTTTCTCAATTTTCTCAAGTGAGTTTTGTTGAATATTAGCAATTTTGATCAACTTAGCATGGTCATCCTCATCAGAAGAATATTGATCGCTAGAGTGAATCTTGTGATTTTTGGAGGCTACCTTTTCCTTTGAGGCTTTGGCCATGAAGCAGTAGGCAGGAGATTGCTTGACGGATTCTCGAAGAACTTTGTTGCAGGAGAGGAGGCACATGCTATGTCAGCCATACCGGAGTCAGAATCCTCATCGGATTCTTCTTCTTCTTCGGATTCTGACGATTCTTCTTCATCAGAATCCATTTTGTTGTCGATGTATGCCTTGGCCTTGCGAGAGTTATTCTTGTGGTTGGAGGAGGACTTGGAAGGGTTCCTTGATGATGATTGATAACCCACAAGTATAGGGGATCGCAACAGTTTTTGAGGGTAGAATATTCAACCCAAATTTATTGATTCGACACAAGGGGAGCCAAAGAATATTCTCAAGTATTAGCAGCTGAGTTGTCAATTCAACCACACCTGAAAGACTTAGTATCTGCAGCAAAGTAGTATGGAAGTAACGGTAACAGTGGCAAAAGTAACAGTAGCAGTTTTGTAGCAATCGTAACAGTGGCAATGGAGAAGTAACTAAGCAAAGATCAATATGAAATGAGCTCGCAGGCAATGGATCAATGATGGATAATTATGTCGGATGCAATTCATCATGCAATAGTTATA